CCATACAACAAATATAGTTGACCTATTGCTTATGTTTTAAGACAAGAGTGCACATGCTGAAATGTCTCGCCTTCTTTACTAACCATTGATTTTATGCTGATAGTCCTAAATACAAAGCTTTACTACAAGTAACACATAAACTTAACATGATCCAAGAAAATGAGGTCAAGGTCAGATAAACCAAACGAGAAATACATGTACACCTTACAATCATTCAATAAACAAAACATAGTTGACCTTTTGCTTATTGTTTCTAAGAAACAGTCTTAAACAAGAAAACTTAACATTGACCAATGAACCATGATAATGAGGTCAAGGTCAGATGAACCATGCCAGACAGACATGTACACCTTACAATCAATTTAGGCATTAAATATAGTTGACCTACTGCTTATAGTATATAAGAAACAAACTTAACCATGAAAACTTAACATTGACCAATGAACCATGAAAATGAGGTCAAGTTCAGATGATACCTGCCAGACAGACATATACACCTTACAATCCTTCCATACATCAAATATAGTTGACCTATTGCTTATAGTTGAAGAAAAACAGACCATAACACAAAAACTTAACACTGAAAAAATGAACCGTGAAAATGAGGTCAAGGACAATGGACATATGACAGACGGAAACTTCGTAACATAAGGCATCTATATACAAAGTATGAAGCATCCAGGTCTTCTAGCTTCTAAAATATAAAGCTTTTAAGAAGTTAGCTAACGCTGCCGCCGCCGCTGCCAGATCACTATCCCTATGTCGAGCTTTCTGCGACTTTTAGGCTCGACAAAAAACAGACCAAAACACAATAAAATGCTTCGCTGGGCGCAGCTTGATACGACCGCAGAGGTCGAACCCTGAACAGTTGGGGCAAGTATGGACACAACATTCAAGCTTGATACAGCTCTGAATTTGGATTGTGATTAAATATTTGACACAGCATAGGTTTCTGACACAGAAAGAATGTGGTCTAAGAATTTGATTTTTTTTAATTTACCTATTATGGTCCAATGTCCAAATCAAAATACATGGTTAGATTCAGCATATCAAAGAACCCCAAGAATTCAATTTTGTTAAAATCAAACTAAGTTTAATTTTGGACCCTTTGGACCTTAATGTAGACCAATTTATAAAACGGGACCCAAAATTAAAAATCTAAATACACGGTTAGATTTGGAATATCAAAGAACCCCAATAATTCAATTTTTGATGAAATCAAACAAAGTTTAATTTTGGACCCTTTCGACCTCAATGTGGACAAAGTTGATAACGGGCCCAAAAATCAAAAATCTAAATACATGGTTAGATTCAGCATATCAAAGAACACCATATATTCAATTTTTGTTGAAATCAAACAAAGTTTAATTTTGGACCCCGATTTGGACCAACTTGAAAACTGGGCCCATAATCAAAAATTTAAATACATGTTTAGATTCAGCATATCAAAGAACCCTAAGAATTCAATTTTTGTTAAAATCAAACTAAGTTTAATTTTGGATCCTTTGGACCTTAATGTAGACCAATTTGAAAACGGAACCAAAAATTAAGAATCTAAATACACGGTTAGATTCGGCATATCGAAGAACCCCAATAATTCAATTTTTGATGAAATCAAACAAAGTTTAATTTTGGACCCTTTGGACCTCAATGTGGACCAATTTAAAAACTTGGCCAAAAATCCAAAAACTAAATACACGGTTAGATTCAGCATATTAAATAACCCCAAGAATTCAAGAATAAAACCCCATTGAAATTGGTCAAGAAATAAGCAATTTATATGAAGTATCTTCATTTGCACAATACTGTGCAATTAAATATTTCTTGCTATTGCGCAATACTGTACAATTGACAATTTCTTGCTATTGCGCAATACTGTGCAATTGAAGATTTCTTGCTATTGCGCAATACTGTGCAATTGAAGATTTCTTGCTATTGTGCAATACCATGCAATTGAAAATTTCTTGCTATTGCACAATACTTATTATATAATAATTTACACATCCTGTTTGGTGTGTATCTCCTACCATATCATTATTATTTGCTTTTAAATATAAATCAGAAATAACCAACTTAAAATGGAAAATTTTAAAAGAAATAATAGGAACAAAAGAAAAAAAGGAAAAAAAAAAAATCCCCCTCCCCCCAAATTTTTTGAAACCCCTTATAATTCATCACACCCAAACTCAATCCCAGCCTTCCCTTTGTGGTATGGTACCTTGCAGTACAATTTCAGAGAGATCCATACATTTGAACACAAGTTATTGTCTGGAAAATAGAAAAATGCTTGTTTTTTGCCCCTTTTTGGCCCCTAATTCCTAAAATATTGAGGCAATTACCCCCATCATCAATCCCAGCCTTCCCTTTGTGGTATGGTACCTTGCAGTACAATTTCAGAGAGATCCATACACTTGAACACAAGTTATTGTCTGGAAACTAGAAAAATGCTTATTTTTGGCCCCTTTTTGGCCCCAAATTCCTAAACGTTTCGGCAATTACCCCCAAACTCAAATCCAGCTTTCCCTTTGTGATATGGAACCTTGTAGTACAATTTCAGAAAGATCTATACACTTACACACAAGTTATTGTCCTGAAACTAGAAAAATGCTTGTTTTTTGCCCCTTTTTGGCCCCTAATTCCTAAAATATTGAGGCAATTACCCCCATCATCAATCCCAGCCTTCCCTTTGTGGTATGGTACCTTGCAGTACAATTTCAGAGAGATCCATACACTTGAACACAAGTTATTGTCTGGAAACTAGAAAAATGCTTATTTTTGGCCCCTTTTTGGCCCCCAATTCCAAAATGTTTCAGCAATTACCCACAAACTCAATTCCAGCTTCCCCTTTGTGATATGGAACCTTGTAGTACAATTTCAGAAAGATCCATACACTTACACACAAGTTATTGTCATGAAACTAGAAAAATGCTTGTTTTTTGCCCCTTTTTTGGCCCCTAATTCCTTAAATTTTGAGGCAATTACCCCCAAAATCAATCCCAGCATTCCTTTTGTGATATGGAACCTTGTGGTACAATGTCAGAGAGATCCATACACTAACACACAAGTAATGTCTGGAAGTTACAAAAATGCTTATTTTTGGCCCCTTTTTGGCCCCTAATTCCTTTACTGTTGGTACCATAACCCCTAAAATCAATCCCAACCTTCCTTTTGTGGTATTGAACCTTGTGGTAAAATTTCATAGAGATCCATTCACTTAAACTAAAGTTAGAGTGCGAAAACCAATGTGTCTTCGGACGACGCCGGACGACGCCAGACGACGACGACGACGACGCCAACGTCATACCAATATATACGACCACAAAAATTTGTTTGCGGTCGTATAAAAACTTAACACTGAGCAATGAACCTTCAAAATGAGGTCAAGGTCAAATAAAACCTGCCAGACTGACATATATATTATAAAATATTTCCATACACCAACTATAGTTGAACTATTGCATATAGTATTAGAAAAAAAGACCAAAACTCAAAAACTTAACTTTGACCACTGAACCATGAAAATGAGGTCAAGGTCAGATGACACCTGCCAGCTAGACATGTACACCTTACAATCATTCCATACACCAAATATAGTAGACCTATTGCATACAGTATAAGAAAAACAGACCAAAACACAAAAACTTAACTATAACCACTGAACCATGAAAATGAGGTCAAGGTCAGATGACACCTGCCAGTTGGACAATTACACCTTACAGTCCTTCCATACATCGAATATACTAGAACCTATTGCTTATAGTTTCTGAGATATGGACTTGACCACGAAAACTTAACCTTGTACACTGATCCATGAAATGAGGTCAAGGTCAAGTGAAAACTGTCTGATGGGCATGAGGACCTTGCAAGGTACACACATACCAAATATAGTTATCCTATTACTTATAATAAGAGAGAATTTAACATTACAAAAAATCTTAACTTTTTTTTCAAGTAGTCACTGAACCATGAAAATGAGGTCAAGGACTTTGGACATGTGACTGTTGGAAACTTTGTAACATGAGGCATCCATATACAAAGTATGAAGCATCCAGATCTTCCACCTTCTAAAATATAAAGCTTTTAAGAAGTTAGCTAACGCCGCCTCAGGATCACTATCCCTATGTCGAGCTATCTGCAACAAAAGTCGCAGGCTTGACAAAAACTAGGTGGGTGTAAACTTTTCTATTGAAAGAGATTGTATTGGTAGCCGACTCTATTTTCCTTATTGAAAAGACCCAAGCAAAGCAAACAATCAAAATATATTGAAGGATATTGATATAAATCGCATTAAAAAGTCAACCCCTTGAACACTATCAGATAATATCATAAAAGTGGTGAGGATGCCAATGATACAATAATATGACTGAAACATATTTAGTAACACTGCAACTATTAGTCAAAACATGTTTTTTTCTTTTTAAATCCTATTTACAAATAAGGGTTCCTCCTGTTCAGCATAAACTGTATAAAATGTTAAGAAAATGCTGTGGGGCGCAGCTTGATACAACCCCAGAGGTCCAACCCTGAACAGTAGGGGCAAGTATGGACATTATGTTCAAGCTTGATACTGCTCTGCATTTGGATAGTGCTAAAATATTTAACACAGCATAGGTTTCAGACACAGAATGAATGTGGTCAAGGAACTGAAAAATCTGAAATTTTTATTTCACCTATTATGGTCCAATATCCAAAATCTAAATACACGGCTAGATTCAGCAAATCAAAGTACACCAAGAATTTAATCAATTTATTTATTAATGGACAATATTAGCTTTTTTATAAGGGTTTGCTTCATCAAAAAATAAAAATTATAAATTTAATATAGCATTCTGAAAATTAATTTACACAGAATAACAAGCAAACCAACAACAAATGTTTTAGTTTGTATTACCTCTTTCTTAATTTAATAGATTTATACTAAAATTGCTCAATGGAAAACAGACAACGAATTAAAAACCTTTTAGGCTTTATAGTGAATTAAGAAATCTGTAGTGCCATACCTTGACAACTGGGATATCCATTTGACCACATTCCACTTTTTTCACAATCTAGTTTGCTATACATGGTACTCAATTTATATCCATGGTCACAGGTAAATTCAACTGAATCCTCAAAGAAGAAAAAATCCTTCTTTGACAAAACTGTTCCATTATTTAGAGGAGGTGGAACTGGACACTGCTTCCCTGTAATAGATAGAAAATACATTTAACTAGTGTAATTTTCTATTTGATTTATCTGATATGCAAAATTTTTACAGTTCATTTTGGTTCCTTTGTTTACAATTTCCAAGTTTATTTCTACAAATGCTTAATGAGCTTAAGAAATATATACATGCATGCAGCCTGATGCTATTTAAATTCTTAACTTCACTTTAGAAAAAAAATAACATAACCTCTGAATATTGTTGCTTATATTTTTAAATTCACATACATGCAATGCTTTGGAAGTTGGAAGTTGACAAAATAGCCTTAATTTTTTTAGCAGGCTGTCAGTCATAGTTATGATCTAAAATTTGACAACAGGACTGCTGCCTGCCATATCCTTTTAACATTTGCCTGATAATAACAAAGCCTGAATTCAAATTGCCTAGTCATTAGATGCCTTCCTTAGTTACCATGAGCACTTTCACATATTCAGTGGTGTTTTGTCCATGTTTTTTTTACTTCAAAATTAAAATTGCCAGGCAGGGGTGCAGGTTATAGAGAATTGTCAGAAAGGAATAAGAAAAACACGATTTCGCGATGTTTGTCGATGAAATTGTAGAGGGTGTCCTTAGTTCTTTTCATATTTATCACTCTACCTAATATATATTAATATGCAATTTTTATTCAAAATCCAACATTAACTGAAACGTATCTATTAAAATCAAATGTTTCTTTCCAAATTTTTAATTATTTTCATAGCAATGCATACTTAAACTGGATTATGCTTGTAAACAAGGCTACAAAAAAAGTGAAGGAGTCAGCCTAGAACGAGCTTATGCATAACGATGTATAAACTACAAAATGTAATCGGTTATTGCTTCTGTTTTGTTGTTTCATACTGCTTCCTGTGTTTTGTTTTAGCGAAGGTCCTTCAAATATTAATGTAATGAATATACCTGACAGTATTTCATCAAATCTGAAGCTGTTTAGTTTTAAAGTCGTTTTCTTCAGTAATATCTATTAAGTACTGAATTTCAAAATTCTGGTATCAGACCACCAATTCAAAATCCCTATCTATTCAAACAATTTCTTAAGTTTCCACAGCTAACTAAATATTTTACCTGAAGTTTAACTTCATAGAAACCAGGTATATCCTGAATTGTACATGCATCACCGTTCTACATGCCAATTTTCAACATATTTTAAAAGTCTTGTAGCAAAAAGCGACCATTCAGAGGGCAACTGCTACTAAAAATAACCCCTGGTTTTCTGGAAATCTTAAATAAGTATACTATGGAGTGCATTAATCCTCTATTTTTAATGCAAACTCATGGTCAAGTAAATTTTAGCACAAAATGGTCTAAATATCTTTCTCTTTCACCAAAAGTTTCATTTCTGCAAATTTATTGGTTATCTTAAGTAAACAATGACATCAAAAGCACTATTTTTTGTCAGAGAAGGGCTACTTTTACACGTTCTTTATTGGAGTGGGTGAATTGGTCGTCTGACACCTTCTATCCCTGTTTGAGTTTGAAATTTACACATCCTATAAATCTGATATCTGGCTAATGTCAAAAACCAACTTCAACAATTGTTTATCTTGTGATTTTGGCTGATTTCAACACTCATGAAGTGTTCTAGAGTCATTTACAAGCATTTTCAACTTCTAATTGATGATTGAAAACAGAATTTTACATGAAAATACCATAAAATATCACACACGCTTTGAAATTATGGGAGTTCCCCTAAAAGTTTTCGACAAGTGAAAATCAATTTTTTTTCTGAATTCCAGGGGCGAGAACAATATACCAGTGGGGACTTTACAAGGTTGATTAAATATGTTTCATGGCTTAGATGCCTAAGCAATCATGAGCACTTATGTTTTATGGTTGTAATGGAAATCATCAGGGAGAGAGAGATTGAGTAGTAGGACATTTCCACATGAAAACTGGCAATCCTTGAATATTTAGATCAAAGTAGAACACACTCGCAAAGAATAGGGTACGAACTCTATACAAAGTTGACTGGCTAGTACTTATCGTAGATATACTACTTAGACCACTCAGCCCCCCTCTCCAAAGAGGTAATCAGGTAGTTTTAACAACAGTGCATTCCCATGGATTATGGAAGGCTGAAATTTTACTGCTCATTTATATCCAAACTCCAAGGGGTTGGCAAGTTCAAGAGCAGAAACTATTTTTGTACATATGCACAGGGTTGACAGGTTGATCTAAGTTTTTGAGCATGACTTTCAATGTACAATATTCTTCCTTGTTCACACCAAACCTTCTATCAAAGAGAGGTGAACAATTATGCCACATTCCAAGGGGTTTAAAAGTTAGAGAGTAGAGAAATCTTTTGTGTACATGTGCACAAGGGTGGCTAAGTTTATCTGATTTCTTTACCCTGACTTTCAATTAAGAAATTGTCTTCCGTGTTTGTGACACACTTTTAGTAGTGTTGCATAATCATGCCAAGTTTATTACCAACTCCTTGAGGCTTTAAAGTAAGAGTTTAATAAACTGCTTCGCTGAGCGCAGCTAGATACGCCCGCAAAGGTCCAACCCTGAACAGTTGGGACACAAATGGACACAATATTCAAGCTTTATACAGGTCTAAATTTGGATTGTATCAAATATTTAGCATATTATAGGTTTCTGAATAAATGTAGTCAAAGAACTTGAAATTGGTTATATGAATTGAATTTATATTCAATTAAAGATTTCTTGCTGTTGTGCAATACACTGTGCTGTTTCACAATACTTAGTAAATCTGTTGTCAGACTATAAACAATTAAAGTTCAATTAATTCTCAATGTCATATTAAAAATTTATGAAAATGTAAAGGGAGCTTACATCAATAGATATAAATAATTCACCAAAGTTTCATGAGAATTTCTGACAGCATTTTTGAGTTATTGTCCAAAAACTGGAAAATCCCCCCTTTTATAATGAATAAAACCCCATAACTCAGAAATGTAAAATGTAAAATTTATAAAATTCTATACGGAGCTTACATCAATAGATATAAACAATTCACTGAAAGCATTTTTGATTTATTGTCTGAAAACTGGAAAATCCTCCTCTTTTTTTTATGAATAAAACACTGTAACTCGAAAATGTAAAATCTAAAATATATAAAAATCAAAAGGGAGCTCATGTCAGTAGATATAAACAATGCACCACAATTTCTTGCAAGTTGGTGAAAGCATTCTCGAGTTATTGTCCGAAAACTGGAAAATCCCCCTTTTTTTAATGAATAAAACCCCGTAACTCGGAAACGTAAAATCTAAAATTTATAAAAAAACGAAAGAGAGCTCACGTCAATAGATATAAACAATTCACCAAAGTTTTATGCAAATTGGTTAAAGCGTTTTTGAGTTAATGTCAGACATGTTGACGACGGAGGGACGGATGGACAGACAGACAGACAAAGGTATACCATAATACGTCCCGTAAACGGGCATATAAAAAATAATTAAAGAACTAGATTTCACCATTCAATTGGCAGCGCCCTAACAAGTGTTACTTATACCTAAAATTTAATAATCACTTACTGACACAAGTGTGATTAATATGATATACATCTCCCTCTTTCTGTCCATTTTCACCATCAGCAAGAGAGATATTGTTAAATCCTTCTGCAGTATAAAGTACAAATCCATCATGGCAACCACATGTATATCCAGGTGTAAAGTCTGTGCATGCCTGATGACAAGGTCCAATACCACTATTACTATCACATTCATTTATATCTGGATAAAAGAAGTCATAATTTATATTTTGTAATTTCACTTTTTCAAGTTAAGACTTTCTGATGATTTTAAATTATACTATATTTTTTCCATTTCATAAATTGTTTTATGATAGTTTTATTGCAACATTACATTAACAAGTAAAATTCTACTAGTATATATAACTATGAAAAAGGCTTTTATCACAGAGTAAGCTGATTTTAATACCTAAATCTTTTTTTGTTTTGCAAAAATGTCAGATGCTCTTTCATCACCTACAAACATCCAGTTATCACAAATTTGTTAAAATCCTTTAAAGATCCATTAAAATTTTCTTAAAAATTAAAAAAACAAAAAACAAAAATGCCCTCAAGACATAACAGGAAATGAAAGGTGCATAACACTTAATATTTCAAGAATTAAAAATCTATAGTCATAAATTGTTTTGTTTGCAGTCTGTGGGTTAACATTGTATGTATTGAACATGACCACAATATGAATCATGATATAGAATTTTATTTAACCAATTTTCAGAACAAAAAACCCTTACCAGCTTCCAAATTAACTTCTAACATGATTTGGTTATATTTTTTTAATATATATTTAGCCTTTTCCTAAAGCAAGTAAGTTTAGCTAGACAATCATGTTCAAATTGCATATTTTCATTCAGACAGTCTTTCTGGAATTAACATAGGAATTAGCAAAGTCCTGAAAAAAGTTCAGTAGCAATAATTCAGTTCCTTTAAATTTAGATACAATAGGCATTTGGCTTGTTTTAATTTTCAAAACCATACTTAAAATTATTTCTGTAGAGCGAGAACCTAAACTTATTTCTTATGCAATCTATAAAATTGTTACCAGTATGCAAAATTACAGCTAGTAGAGAAAAAAAGTTATAAGTTATTGACATATTTATCTCCCTTCTACCACCAAAGTTGATAAAAGTCTCCAACATTTGCAACCTTAAAATCAATTGAATTTAAAAACACTCATACAATTTTACTTTCAAGTGACTGGCACTTCTTGACTCTCACTTTTACAGTTTTTTAATAGCCCATTTCTATACAATAATGTTAAATCACCTGTTGGAATATTCAAATTTTTTTCTTCAGTATATATATAATATATATGGAACTATTCCATTGAATGAAAAGTAGGAGGTAGTAAGGGAACCTTTATTCTGGGAAATTGGTGGTTGGTCATTTATGGTATTTTATACATTTGAAGTCAAATCCATTTTAATGGGATATCCCTCACAAAAACAATAACATATATACTGTACATCAGCATGAAACCTTTATAATTGTCCCTTTATAATTATTTGAATTACTTGAACAGTCAGCATTTCCTATTCTCTCATAACCATCTTTACATGTACACACACGACTTCCAATGGTGTTGTGACAATCCTCTGTACCAGGACAAGGCGAGTTTGAAACAATTGTGTTATTGCATTCATCCACATCTGTAAATGTAAAATTCATTTAAATTATTGAAGTTTCTATAGTAAATGCTGATTTATCTAATATTGATAAAAGAACCGAGTTCCAATAACTTGTCTGAGACATTGCTGGTATAACCTATGATATAAGTTTCATAAAAATCTGGCAGGATTGTACACATGACAGAGCTAACAAAGGTAATTTTCTATATTATTAATAGTTCCAAGGGGCATAACTCTTTTTAAAAATTGTTGATTGGCACTGATTTTGGAAATAGTCAGAGACAACATATTATATTTTAATGCTGATATATATCAACCTATGATATATGTTTTATAAATATCTGGCAAGAATTGCACATGCGAGAGCTTTAAGACTGGATGGACACCCTTTATTTCTATGTCCCCCACAACGCATCACGTGGGGGACAAAAATTGCGGCATTTTTACCAACTCAGGATCTTCCTCTCTTTATATGTGACCATATAGCCAAGCAAGGTTACAATTGTGTATACATGTATAGTATTTAATAAAACAATCCTAAATCACTTTTCTCACAAATCGCAGTTTTTTTCAGCACTTATGACCTTTATCTTTGGTTTAGTGACCTGAAAAATCATTAGGGATTTATACTTTTAGTAGCTTTAAGATATAAACCTCAAGATTATTACAGGTCTTCCTCTCATTATATGTGACCATATATCAAAGTAAGCTTGCAATTTAATATGTAGTATTTGATTTAGCATCTGGGAATGAAAATGATTAATGGACAGGTCAAAGACAATATTACTGTAAGCCAACTAATTTTCTTGAGCGATTAGTTTTCGCTTTTAGAAAATTAACGTGAATATAAATCGTCACAAATATGTTAAACTTCGATCTTCTCTTATATTAATACATCAATGAAATTAAAACATTGCGAAAATAAATCGCAGCGACGTCAAATTGAAACGGCAATATGCGAAATAAAGTATCCTAAAAATAAGTTGGTTTATAGTATCCCTGTGCCTGTGCTACTTTGTAGCATGGGATATAAATAAATTATAAGGGTCTTTTACCCTCTGAATAAAATTCCTTTGTATTAATATGCAACAACCACCAGATTAGCATAATTATGTCTAGCTTTTATAGTTTTCCTGTCAAAGGTCATGGTTCTCTCCAGGCATTCCGGCTTCCTTCATCAATAAATAGTGGCCACAACAAAATAGCCAATAGTGCTGAACGTGGCGTTAAACACCAATAATCAATCAATCTAGCTTTTATCAAATCCTCATCGCAGATAGGACAATTACCTGCATGATTAATATGACTGGAAAATATGCTCAAAGGCTATCTGATCAAGGTCAAACTAAACTGCAACAAAGGGCACTGCAATCGTATTATCACATATTAAACTATGGACAAGTTCCGACATGAGAAGCAATTTGGAAACAAACCTGATCAATGTACAAGAAAAAGGACTCCTGCCTGGCAGATGTGTATATCTTAAAATTATTTTATTATTATAAACAAATGTTACAAAGTTTACCATTTTTTACAGTAACTGACAGACTGAACCAGGCATGAAAATAACCATGTAAATAAGATCAAATTATATCAAATTCAATCATGCAATTACACCTACACATACTTACAATATTTCTATTCCAGGGCTTCCAAAACTGTTGTATTGTCTGGGCAAGTCTGATAAATTATATTTTTTGTCCAGTTGTGCCAAGCCTGAACCAGACTTCAAATGTTGGTTTGCCATTTTAACACAATTCAGAAAGAAAGAAAATATTATTTTTATACGATCGTTTTGACCTGACATTTTGCCTTTAAATGAACAGTCGCACATTTCTGGTAATAAATGTCACACTACCACGAGACCAACTAGGCATTTAAATCGAACTTGACCTGTATTTTCTGGTTCATGACATTGTGTTAATGGGAGTCTTAATTAAAATCCATAGAATTTTTTAATAATTTGTCAAAATGTAGTTTTTATCATGCTTTTTCCAAAATATAATAAAAAAGTATAGGTCACCAGACTTTTTTTCACGCTACAGGTTGTGCAAAATTGTCAGATTTTGTATAGATTATGCATAGAAAATCCAATTTTGTGTGATAAAAAGAAAACTACACCATAGAATTTTAAGATAAAATGTGAGAAGATAGCTCTTATAATATGCTTTCAGATAAGAAAAAAAAATGGGGTCACCGGACATGTTTTCTTGCTACATATTAAAATAGGTAAATTCATAACACTTTCTATTATAAAAATTACTTTATCTGAGGTATCTCCCCTTATGTGGCAAAGTTGAAAAACTAGAGGCTCTCAAGAGCCTGTGTCACTCACCTGTATCTACCATGGTTTTGGAAATCATGTAAAATAAGGTTAAAATCATAACAAATAGTATTAGATACCCCAATAATGATTGAGACCAAGTGTGGTTTAATTTGGCCCAGTAGTTAAATTAAAAGCAGGTCATCCCAATTTAGTATAAAAATAGTTACTGAAGACCCCTTATCATTATTAGTTTTCAACTTGTGACCATTTGAAATAGTTTTTTTACAATTTTCCCATAAAATTCTATAGTTAACCCCTATGTTCAATTTTAGCCATAGTGGCCATCTTGGTTGAAAGATCACAAAAATTTATGAAAATTGTGAAAAATTTACTTTAAAGGGCAATAACTCCTTATGGGGTCAATTGACAATTTTGGTCATGTTAACTTATTTGTAGATCTTACTTTGCTGAACAGTTTTGCTGTTTACAGTTTATCTCTATCTATTATAATATTCAAGATAATAACCAAAAACTGCAAAATTTCCTTAAAATTACCAATTCAGGGGCATCAGCCCAACAACGGGTTGTCTGATGCATCTGAAAATTTCAGGACAGATAGATCTTAACCTGATGAACATTTTTACCCCCATGTCAGATTTGCTCTAAATGCTTTTGTTTCAGAGATATAAGCTAAAAACTGCATTTTACCCCCATGTTCTATTTTCAGCCATGGCGGCCAGCTCGTTGATAGGCAGGGTCATCGGATACATTTTTTAAACTAGATACCCTAAGGATGATTTAGGCCAAGTTTGGTTTTATTTGGCCCAGTAGTTTCAGAGGAGAAGATTTTTGTAAAAGTTAACGGACGACGGACGCCAAGAGATGAGAAAAGCTCACTTGGCCCTTTTGGGCCAGGTGAGCTAAAAATGAATCAAACAAAAATAATGTGTTTTTTTAGAAAAAAACAGCCGTAAATATGATAAAATACATAATTTTATATATTAACATGAAAAGTCTTACACATGAATTACATACTACTCTCAAAATTTGCACATATCATTAAAGATCTAGACCAATTATCTGCTACTCCAAAATCCAAGATAGAGGAAGACACCCCAGCCACCTTAAAATTTCAAAAGATTTGATCAAGTAGTACTTTAATTATCATCTGGAAATCAAATTTGTAAATGGAGGGAGGGATGGACGGACGAGTGCATCACTATATATTCTCCCCTTTGTGGCATGGGTATAAAAATACTAAGTAGGGATGATGTTACACATTTTAAATATCAAGATAACATTTGACAAAGGTCAGTAACATACCCAAACATGCTACATCTGGTGAAAGTTTTCCATCACTCTCACACATCAAAGTCACACTTGGTGTGTTTGCCCCATTAATACCAAATCCTTCGTCACAAGTCAAAGTTGTTGTAATCCCATATTTCAGTGCATCAGTCGAGCTCAGATTTCCACTACGAATTCTTGGTATTGGACACCATATTTCTGAAAACATAATGTACAGATATTATAATCAAAACAAGGTTTATAGGTTGGGCATGTAAAATTATCAGTCACTGAACTTTTTGGTAGATATTACAGTATCGATCATTTCAGCTGATATTTCATTATTGAAAAAAAGAGAAATTGCAATGTCCTGAATCTGTCAAAGTACCAGTTTTACCATATTGTGACCGTTTAAGGTTTCTGAATTTAAAGAATCACTTATGAATCGCACATCTAAATTTTAATCAATACATTGTATAACAAGAAATGATTGTAACAGGATGCTGTTACGAAGTCTCCCAAACGAAGCTCCCATAATTCGTAATTCCCAGGGTTGTCCGACATTGGGCAAAGTCCAGTGAAAATTGGTTTGTTCCAGTAAAGTTATATGCATTAGTGATGCCTGGGGACTAACCCTGTATATCATTCAAATCATCTTGGCATGACAAACCAGAATATATATGGTTTAGGGGTGGGGATCTCGACCATTTACAAGATACTAGAACATTGGGGGAGGGGGGAACCCCTTGGGCCTAACCCTATACGTCATTCAAATGTTCGAGACATGACGAACAGGAATATGTATGGTTTAGGGGTGGGGATCTCAACCACTTACAAGTTATTAGAACTTTCTCAAATGGCAGGGGGTCGGGATGACCCCTGGGGACTAACCCTGTATATCATTCAAACCATCTTCGCATGACAAACCAGAATATATATGGTTTAGGGGTGGTGATCTTGACCACTTACAAGATATTAGAACTTTCTTAAATGGCATGGGGTGGGGGTGACCCCTGGGGACTAACCCTGTATTTCATTTGATGTGCTTTATCATGACAAACCAGAATATATATGGTTTAGGGGTGGGGACCAGGACCATTTACAAGATATTAGAACTTTCTCAAATGGCAGGGGGTCGGGATGACCACTGGGGACTAACCCTGTATATCATTCAAACCATCTTAGCATGACAAACCAGAATATATATGGTTTAGGGGTGGGGATCTTGACCATTTACAAGATATTAGAACTTTCTTAAAAGGCAGGGGGTGGGGGTGACCCCTGGGGACTAACCCTGTATTTCATTTGATGTGCTTTAACATGACAAACCAGAATATATATGGTTTAGGGTTGGGGATCTCGACCATTTACAAGATATTAGAACTTTCTCAAATGGCAGGGGGTCAGGATGACCCCTGGGGACTAACCCTGTATATCATTCAAACCATCTTAGCATGACAAACCAGAATATATATGGTTTAGGGGTGGGGATCTTGACCACTTACAAGGTATTAGAACTTTCTTAAATGGCAGGGGGTGGGGGTGACCCCTGGGGACTAACCCTGTATTTCATTTAATGTGCTTTATCATTTAGAACATTTTCAATTAAAAAGATTGTGTCTATCACAAACGGTTTTCAATTTATAATCATTTGAAAATTAAAAAAAATAAAATCCCATAGGGTTCTATAGTAAAACCCTCCTTTCTTTTTGCTCCTCAAAGTACCCCTTTATAAACCTCATTGCACAAACAAAACCCTGATTGCACTACTAGACATGTTAGTCTAACATATTGTGAAACCCAAAGTTAATCTGACAAACGGTTTTGGAGAACGGGTGCGGACAAGTTCAAATTTAAAAGCGGCGGAAGAGGAAGAAGAATAATAATAATAACTAGATTTGCCATTGCAAGCAATAGCGGATGTCACCCTTCCCCCATTGTCACTAGATTGCAGCCAGTTTAAAAATTTTAAATGCACATATATACTGATGGCTATACATCTTTCTGTAATTTTTTAGAACATTTAGCAGATTTACAAATTTTACGCATAATTTTTCCTTTTTTGCCTTGTTTCCATGGTAACGGCAGCCATTTTGGAAATTCCAACGCCAATTGCTGCTTCCACACATGACAGTCAACATTATTGTGAAGTTTCATTAAGTTTGAAGCATTCTGAAATTATTGCTCCTGTATCCATGGTAACATAGTAATTCCAATGATTGTCAAAATCATTCAAAACCTGTATATAAAGGACAACTATATTGTATAAAAATTTGATGATTTTAAGTTAAAGCATACCAAAATTATTCACCAAACCCTGAAGTTTTTGGAGCATTTTGACCTTTTTGCATTGTTTCCATGGTAACGGCAGACATTTTCGAAATTCCAACGCCAAATTCCACATCTACCAATGTTGCTCATCGTTACTGTGAAGTTTCAAAAATTTTTGAGCATTTTGAAATTTTTTATGTAGTTTCCATGGCAACATAGTAGTTCTAATGATTGCCAAAATCATCCAAAACCAGTATATAGTGGGCACCTACATGGTATTAAAATATAATGATTCTAAATTTAAGCATCTCCAAATAATTCACCAAAACCATAAACTGGATTTTTTCACATTTGTTCCGTTTCCATGGTAACGGCAGCCATTTTTAATGTTCTTAAGACCTACTGCAACCCAAAATTTTGTGTTCCTCATTATAGTTAACTATCATTAAGATTGGTTCCATTGGCTCCAAAAAAAATGCAGGACAAAATTAGGTGGAAGAATAATAATAATAATACCTAGATTTGCAATTGCAAGCAATAGCAGATGTCACCCTTCCCCTATTGCCACTAGATTGCAGCCAGTTTAAAAATTTTAAACAGTGAATGCACATATATACTGATGGCTAAACATCTTTCTGTAATTTTTTAGAACATTAAGCAGATTTACAAATTTTACGCATAATTTTTTCTTTTTTGCCTTGTTTCCATGGTAACGGCAGCCATTTTGGAAATTCCAACGCCAATTGCCGCTTTCACACATGACAGTCAACATTATTGTGAAGTTTCATTAAGTTTGAAGCATTCTGAAATTTTTGAAATTTTTGCTCCTGTATCCATGGTAACATAGTAGTTCCAATGATTGTCAAAATCATTCAAAACCTGTATATAATGGACAACTATATTGTATAAAAATTTAATGATTTTAAGTTAAAGCATACCAAAATAATTCACCAAACCCTATAATTCTATTTTTTCGGTTTCCATGGTAACGGCAGCCATTTTTTAGTTCCAAAGTTGCACTGCAACTCGAAAGTCAGGGTTCCTTGTTATAGTGCACCATCATTTAGATTGGTTCTTTTGGCTCTGAGAAAACTGGCGGACAAAATTAGGTGGAAGAAAAATAATAATAATAATAGGGAAAAAGAAACAGAGGAAAAGCAATATGTCACCCGACATTGTCGATCGGGTGACATAATAAAAAAAAGAAACGGAGGAAAAGCAATATGTCACCCGACATTGTCGATCGGGTGACATAATAAGAACTGAGCAAAAACAATAAGTCTTCCCAAACTTTGTTTGGGAGACTTAATTACCAATATAATGTTGAATTTGTTTTTAGAATCCTTTACTTTTTGTTCCAGTATAAAAATAAGAAGATGTGGTATGATTGCCAATGAGACAACTCTCCACCAGAGACCAAATGACATAGAATGGATATAAGAAGATGTGGTATGAGTGCCAATGAGACAACTCTCCATCCAAGTCACAATTTGTAAAAGTAAACCATTACAGGTCAAAGTACGGCCTTCAACATGGAGCCTTGGCTCACACCGAACAGCAAGCTATAAAGTGCCCCAAAAATATATTGAAGTTAACAACTATAGGTCACCATACAACCTTCAACAATGAGCAAAACAGATACTGTATAGTAATCTATAAAAGGCCCAAAAATGACGAAGGCAAAACAATTCAAACGAGAAAACTAATGGCCCCATGGAAGTACAAAACAATAAACGAAAAACATGGCTCCCAACTTGGGACAGGCACATACAGAAAGTGGCGGGGGTTTAACATGTTAGCTGGCGCCAAACCCTACCCCTCACCTGGGACAGTGGCTTAACAGTACAACATAGAAATATAACAAGAGTGCACAGGCTGAAATGTCTCGCCTGTTTTACTGACCATTGATTTTATATTAGTCTTAAAGATAAAGGTTTTACTACAAGTATCACATAAACTTAACATTTTTAAAGATCCATGACAATGAGGTCAAGGTCAGATAAAAACTGTCACGCAGAAATGTACACCTTACAATTATTCCGTACACCAAATATAGTTGACCCATTGTTTATGGTAATTGAAAAACAGACCAAAACACAAAAACTTAATTTTAACCAATGAACCATGGAAATGAGGTCAAGGTCAGATGATACTGGCTAGACAGACATGTACACCTTACAATCATTCCATGCACCAATTATAGTTGACCTATTGCTATTAGTATTTGGAAAAACAGACCAAAACACAAAAACTTAACATTGACAAAAGAACCATAAAAATGAGGTCAAGGTCAGATGACAACCGCTAGACAGACATGTACACCTTACAATCATTCCATACACCAAATATAGTTGACCTATTGCTTACAGTACTTGAAAAACAGACCAAAACACAAAAAATTAACAATGACCAATGAACCATGAAAATGAGGTCAAGGTAAGATAAAACCTGCCAGTCTGACATGTACCCCTTACAATCATTCCATACATCACATATAGCTGATCTGCTGCTTGTAGTATATGAGAAACAGACCTAATCATGTAACTTTAACCTTGATCACTGATCCATGAATTGAGGTCGAGGTCAGGTTAACCCTGTCTGACGGACATGTAGACATTGCAAGGAACCCATATACCAAATATAGTTATCCTATTACTCATAATAAGTGATAAATTCACATGAAAAAAAACTGTAATTTTTTTCAAGCAGTCACTGAACAATGAAAATGAGGTCAAGGACAATTGGCATATGACAGACGGAAACTTCAGACAAAAGGTATCTGCATACAAGGTATGAAGCATCCAGGTCTTCTACCTTCTGAAATATAAAGCTTTACACAAATAGTTTATTGCGCCGCCGCCCCATAGTAATACCTTTGTCTCGCATACTGCGACTTTTGTCGCAGGCGGTCGCAGTTGAGACAAAAATCAGTTGAAAAGGGCATAACT